CTCTGTGATCACTCTGAAAGAGTCCTGCACTATTTGGCAGAGCACATGGCAAGCATTATTTTACAAGATCTACTGCATGTTGTACAATCTCACCATTTTGAGGGTACAGCCCTTTCCGCCAGGTATCAGGCAACCAGTAGAGGAGAGAAAGAGGAGGACACAACAAGCAGTGCCCCTTTCTGCTGGACTACCCATGATACTATAAAAGCTACCCAAATCACCACTTTTTAACAGCCCAACAACTTGCCTTCTGACTGTTACAGACCATTCCAGCATTTCCAAAACAAATTGTATTAGTCATGTTTTAATTTATCAAACAGCAACAAATCACCATTGTACACCCTTGTCATTGGCTGTCTTCCATGTGTCATCTGCCTGTCTGAGAACTCTCTTGCCATGTTAGCCTGGTAGGAGGTTACTGACTTTTAACTGGGGAGAACGCAGATGGCCCTGAGGATCATCTCAAGCAGCTGTAGGTTAGAAGGCCTTGCTTTGAACTGCACCATCTCTGTATGACTGGCAACAGTCTAAGATGGTTAAGTGACAGACAACAGCAAGGACACTGACAGAGTGCCATGGGTGAGAAGACAATTATTTTCATCCTGAAAGGTTTGAACAAATTCTCTTGAAGTGGCAGCACAGCAATCCAATGGAAGGCAGGTAGTTGGATTGCTGTAAAATCCTGTAATACTGAATCCACAGCCATCATGGCAGCAGTCTGCAGGGGCTTCTTGATGGTGTCAGATGTCATCAATTGTACGCATGTGATAATCCAACTACAACGGCTACAGGTGTGTACGTTCACACTAAGAGATCCGTCTCAGTGAATAATACTACCCACAATGCCTTTATTCTTTTCACAAATCCATGTCTCTATTTCCTAAAACACCATGTTTGAATCCCGTCAAACCACCTCTCCCACAATATCAAAATGGTTCTTAATCAAAATCACAAATGACATCCAACGTGACTGTAACAAAAGCAAGCTAACCCCCTTTCCTTCCAGACCTGTCAGCAGCCTTTGACACAACTGATCACATCACCCTCCTCCAATGCATTCATTGTCATCCAGTTTGTTGGGACTGCACTTGTCTGGTTCCATTCTTATCTATGCAATAGTGGTCAGAGAATCACCATCAAAGGCTTCTCCTTCTTACTCCTACATGGCAACATCTAGTATCCCCAAGCCTTTATCTTTGTGCCCTTTCTTATTTCTCAGCTGCACGCTGCCCCTCAGTAATGTCTTTCAAAAACACAACATTGATTTCCATACGTATGCTGATGACACACCGCTCTCCCTCTTTACCACTCACTGCTTACCTGACATTTTTGAGTGCATGAGCAGAACTTTTCTCCAATTAAATCTTGGAAAGATCTTTGGGCACACTGCAAATTTTGCTCCCTTCTGACCATTTCCATCCTTCATCCTGGTTGTTGTCTGAGATTCAACCAGATTGTTCACAACTTAGGTGTCATATTTGACCCTCGGATGAACTTTCAACCACTGACCATCTATTTCTACTTCCATAATTCTGTGTATCTTTATTGCTGCTTCAGGACACAATTTTAGAAGCCCACATCTGTGCTTTTGTTAATTCCAGACAATTTTAATGCATTCCTGGTCAGCCTTCCACCTTCTACCAAAGCCATCCAAAGCACTGCTACCTACGTCCTAGTTTATACCAGTTGCCATTTACCCATCTTCCATTTACCCATCTTCCCTATGCTCAATGAATTAGTGTCTCTCCATTAAACAATACCCCAGTTTTAAAATTTGCATCCCCAATTTTCAATGGCCTGGCCCCTTCCTATCTTTCTTATCTCCCCTGGCCTTACAAGCCTCTGTAATATATTCTCCTCTAATTCTGTCCTGTTAGGCATCTTGTTTTCAATTCCTCCAGTATTGATGGCTGTGCATTCAGCTGCCTTGATCCTGACCTCTGAAAGTGCCTTCTCACTTCTACCTCAATTTTCTGCTTTATGTCACTTTTAAAACTGAACTCTTTGACTAAGCTTTTAGTCATCTGACCTAATATCTCCTTATGTGGCTTAGTAATTTTTATAAAGCCTCTGAAATACCTTGGGCTTTTGATACATTTAAAACATAAATTGGCATTGTTGACAGTCAGCAGTTCCCAACATCATCAGGCTTCCAAAACAGACCAGGGTTATCCCTCTGCAGCTGGAAGAGAGAAAAGGAGAGAATCTGCAGCACATAACTCAGAGAACGTCCATGTTAATAGTGTGTTGCCTCCTCCACAACATTGGAATTATGAGGATCCACCAAACAGACATTGCAGATGACTCTGAAGCCTTGCTTTCGACACACTAGAGTGGGTGGCTGCAGTCTTGGTAGGCTGCCAAGAAGTAACAACAGGGGCACCTGGAGAGTAGCCGTGGTGGAAGCACTACCCATTATCCTCCAAGAGGGCAGTAGGATTGTGCTTCATAGTGCCATTGCCACTCTCATGGGGGAACACCTTGGCAATTCTTGTAATCTGCTGGAACACAAATTGCTGGACTACTCTGAAGTCCTGTATGTCCGATTGAACATGATCCACCTGGATCTCATGGCCTCTGAATTTTCACTACAACACTGCTTTTTTGAGAGTTCTCTTCAGTAAAATGGAAATTGATATAGTGACCAACACATGCTGTCATCCTGGCTCTAACTGGCAGTGTTAATATGGAGTGTCCACCACTTCCACTGTAGAAAAGGTGGGTATAGGCTTTGTGCAATACTTTAGGCCATGATGCAGTCAGAATGCTTCTGTAGTTCTAGCCAGTGACTGTAGCTTATCTGGCATCCCTATCAATACACCAAAAACTCTATTTTTGTGTATTGGTGTTTTCCTGTAGTCTGCTCCAACAAGATCCTCAACAAAATCTCCAGCAGAAGAACTGATCAGTGATCTGATCCCTGAAGGGGTTTGCATACAAGGTGATCTTTTCCTTTTTGTGTGATTGCAACCCACTTGTGCCCATGATTCACCACATGTTGGTCCTGACTCAAAACTAGCCTCTAATATTCTAGTGCCAGTATCTGAGTGGTGACCTCAGAACTCTCACTTCTTACCTTACCACCTGAGGCTGCAGAGGTTGAGCAGACAGCAATCACTGACTATCTGAAAACACAAAAGCTTAAGGGAAGGGTAGGGCCAATGTAAAGGAAGAGCTTTGGGAAGAAAGGAAAAGGCCTACAGTCATTCCATCTGCAGCTTCTATTTTGTTGCATCTTTCAGGGTGAGGTATAAGATGCTGTCATACTGTCATCAACGATGACCTTGGTAATACCTAATACTACTAGTTATACAACACTGGTGCTGACATGGTGCTGATAGTCCTGAGGATGCTGAGGCGATAGATTCATGGTGGTGTTCTGTTACTCATTTGCCTCTTTTACCTGCTGTATGTAACCTTCTCCTGTTCTGACAGAAACTAGTTGGCAGTGGAGGGAACTAACTAGTTATCTACAATTTTCCAGGGACAATATAATTTTACCAGTTTCATTGGAATCGATGTTGTCTTTGTCAGCATCACATGGGACCCATGCTCTTTGACTACCTACAGTGCATTTGCCACCTCTGGTGAGTGAATGTGCCACAGAAGTTCAAGCATTCTGAGTGTTAGCAGTGCAAATCGGCAAGTGTGAGGCTACCAACTGCCTGATTACTTCTTAATGACTGATGTCTCAGTAAAGAAGCATCAGCAGGCTCCTTCAGATGAACTGCCCTCTGTTTTGTCCTCTCTTTGCTGTTCCAGTCACCTCAGCAGCACTCTCACTGCAGACATAGCAATGACTGCTGAAATGCTTTGTGATCATGCCCACTGAATGTACATTCAGTGCACATTTTTCCCACCTCTTCAACCCTCTCACTGCCCCTAACTAGCCAACAATTCCAGTGGTATCTTCTTAGTTAGATGCCTTCTGGCAGTCCTGTTACAATCCAGTTCATGATCCAAACATGATTCCAGTGGGCAAAAATAAATTATTGGGGAAATTCAGCTCAGTACATCCAGAGTGATGGAAGCTCTCCTGTTTCCCTGGTGTACCAGTTTGTCACTGAATACCCAAAAACAGTTGTCAAGAAGTTCGCAGTGCATTGCTACAGCTTCCCTTTTGTAGAGGCTGTACCTTTGAAAAGGGAAGCTGCTAGGAGCATGTATAATGCTAGCTGACTCTAGAGTGTGCACGAGAGCAAAAATACAAAAATGGAGTATGTGCTGCTCAGGAGCCACTTGCTGTCACACTATAATCATGCAAATGTGGTGGATAAAGGAGCCTACCTTGAATTCAACAGGCCAGATAGGCTACTAATTAAGGCCCCTGTACCCAAATATTTGGATAACTGAATTTCATGGCCTTTAAGTTTCAAGTTTAAAGCTCCGTAGGATCGTTTGGGATGTTTAAGTAAAAACTTTAATGAGGTCATTAGAACACACATCGATAAATTTAATCATGTTATAATGAAATATGTAATGAGTATTAACATTTTTGAATCCTTATTTCAAATAGTATAAATTGACTAAAATAGTTAAAAGCATTTTGAAAGAACTGGAATCTGGTAGGTGTCCTGCACAACCAGATTGTGCTGTATTAACAATGAGATTGCAAAGCAAGCCCATAATAAATACTGACAGATTAATTTATAATAAGAAAAAGTTGACAGAAAAAGTGCATCATAAACCTGACCAGAAATTTAAGGGGCTAATTTTGAGTGATAGTATAAAATAGACAGTAGTGATACAGCTGCTCATAATTAGTCCTGGTTTTGAAAATTGAGAGAGATGTATACAGCACGGCTGAATCAATATTCTCTGGTTTAACTTACTGGCCAAAGTCAAAACTAGCCTGAAGTTGTTCACACTGTGGAATGATTCTAACTGTATTACAGATTTTATACACACGTTTTGATCTCCCACAGCAGTACACATGAATAATGAAGACCTTTTAAAGTTTTATGGTTTTCATATTGATGTTCACACAATCATTCACTCACTCGACACCTTGCAAGTGGATCAGGAGATTCCTCAAGACTTCGACTCATGTTACGAAGACGCTCTCTTCGTCTTTGTTGGCTTAATCTTATAGTCTCTCTACGTCTTAGGATTCGCTCAAACTCGCTTAATTTAGCAGCTTCTCTATTTCTTGCAAGTTGTTCATCAGAATCCTCAACTGCAGAAGATTCTGCAACGTGACCATTAGGAAGATTTTCCTGTTGCTCTTCTTGACTTAACTGTGAAATCTCTGCATGATTTTCTGGTTGCTCAGTTTCACTCTCAACAGTCTGTAATGGACATGCTACTTGTAGTGGCTGTGCCCTCTCAGCGCCAGCTCTAGCAGCACGAAGACGTTGCCGTCGCCTTCGTTGCCGTAATCGATTACCCAGTCTAATTCGTATGATTGCATCTTCAGGCTCCTCCCTCTCTATCTGGAAAACAGACACTTCAACTTCAACATGTTCTTCTGGCCCAGAGTGGATTTCATGATCAGAAGACATTGGTGCATCCATTCTGGAAAAGAACTGTTTGGTAGAAGAGAGGTTAGGAACATTGAAGAGTGACTAGTAACTATCTATAGGACACCCACTACAGCTGAAACTTAAATTCCAAGGGAAAATAATGACACAAAAACATGTTGAAAAAACTCAATTAAATACAGTAGCACAAGCAAATATTCACATTTTAGGCAAAAGCATGCATTAAAGCAAGGGGAATGAGTAAGCTAACATGGATGCAGACCCAATACAAGACATTAGAGCAAATGACAATAGAGATGTAGGCACATTGGAAAGAAGACTAGGAATGCAAGTCCTAAAGGTAATGCTTTGGCCTATAGTTCAATGGAAGCAAGAAAGCAAAGTTTGAAATAAGATAACGTTTCTTTGACAAAATTTAAAGGACTAGTGAGGGTGTGACAAAATGTATTGTTATCTGTAGTACATCAATGATTTGTATTCCACCAAGCATGGATTAGTAACCTCAGTTCATGTAGAAAATTGGCTAGTCACATGATACACATTTTCATACCAAGCAGCCAAATGTTAATCTATGTTAATTCGGCCACACTTCCTAGAAAAAATAAAGCTGATGTGTATTAGTTCCAGAGATCCTATGTTAGTTTTGTTTTACAGATTCTTTCAATGCTAATTGAAATTGCTTTTAGAATTCAATTATTGCAAATATATCAACTGAAAGACAAACGAACGCTACTATTAGAAGAATAGCTAACTATCTAATTATGAACAATATCATTGTTTGTAATGTAAATGCATTTATCTATTACAACATAAAAAGAAATGGAATTTAATTGTGATAAGTCATTTAATTATCCTAAATGTTCCCTTCTGGTCTAACAGTTTTGTTTTACAGCTATAGAATGCCTTGGAACTTTTTTTTAATATTAAATATGATTGTAAGAGCTGCCCATATTTGAAAGACACAAAATGGCCGACAAGGGATAAGTAGAAATAAACAGTCTGCTCCAACATCTAAGTGAAACATAATGGTACCTTTGAAGAGGACTAGTCCAAGGTTAACATGGGACCCTACAAGCAACCATCCGAGACAGTTTGATAAGAGGATACCTGAGGATAGTCAAGTGATTGATTCCAGCTGCATTAATGAAAGGATGTTGTCCCATTAAGTGAACAGCACCAGTTAGCCCATGAACCAGTCAGACTAACTCTATGCAGCTGTAAAAACAGCTAAAGTTATTTTGTAGTAATTGGTTGTTTCTTTGACGTTATTCAGAATATTAAGAAATAGGCTCTAGTTAAAGATGCTTCAGATAACAATAGAGATGGGGTTACAGGGAAAGGGCAATGCGTCTGGGTGGGGTGCACTGAGAGTCGGTGTGGACTTGTTGGGCCGAAGGGCCTGTTTGTACACCGTAGGGATTCTATGATCTATGATGATCTACGAGTATAGATACACGTATAACCAAAGTATAATACAAGCATTAGGGGAAAAACATTTAAACCTAGATATAAAAGTTAATTAGTTTCAGGAAATGCTTTCTCTTGTCTCTTTAAAAAAAAAGATGCCTGGTATACCCTGAATGAAATAGATTGGTTGCAACTTATTAATTACAAGGTGCTAACAGTAGAAGTAGTTGTATAACTTCATGCTTTGTAACTAACTTGATAATGGAAATTAATACCACAAATCTTATAGTAGTTAATTAAAACCAACTGTCTTTTATATTTTTTATATACGTGATTGGGACGGTGAAAAATATAAGAGGAATAACTGAATTTGATAAAGGTAGTGCATGGAATACAATGAATAACAGAATTCAAGCAGTCCATAGAGATTATCAAGTCTGAGACAGGCCAGAAGGAGTATAACCAGAAACTTTGGAATGCTAATTAACAGGTTGCATAGAAAGATCCCAAGGCCTGGAGATTAACAATATCTGTTAAACACCATGAGATCATAGGAACCTGGAGCTGTCCATAGGAATGCCCATCATTGATTAGGTGCTTCACAGTATTGGGTTAATGGAGTCAGGAGGAAGGACATATTCACCATGGTGAATGTGACTACTGTAAAATCAGAGTTTGTCATTGATCTCTCTTCCGATCTGACCCAAAGATTAAGGGAATAACTGTGTTCTCACATCGAGGTCAGATTCAGGGAAGATCCTTTGGCCCTCTCCCTGCATTAACTGGTTCTTGCTTGAATAAAAGTCAGCCACTTGCCTGAATCCTCCCTGCCTCCTGAGTCAGTGTCCCAATCTAGGAGTACACTCCTACAATGATAATGTGTTGTTATACAGTACATATCTGGAGCAAGATATATAATGCTTTGCACTGAATTGCTGATCATTTAAATAAATTGCCTGCAGCTTGAGCCTCTTTTTGCAAATTCAATTAATCCAGCAAAGACAGAGAAATCACTTGATGTTTTTTTTCTAAATTTACTCTTGGGAATGTTGGCATCACTACTTAGAATAGCATTTATTACCAATCATTAGTTACTGATCAGGAAACAGTGTGGTTTATTCTTTAATTGTTGCATTTGGGTGGCAGAGTTATTCCCAAAATACAGTACTGTTAGATAAGGTGTTCTAAGATTTTAACACCGCAGTGATGTCCAAGTCAGAAACAAAAACAGATGTTGCTGGAAATGCTTGGACCGGATCCGAAACGTTAACTCTGATTTCTCTTCACAGATGCTGCCAGACCTGCTGAGCTTTTCCAGCAACTTCTGTTTTGTTTCTGATTGACAGCATCCGCAGTTCTTTCAGTTCTTGATGTGGAGGTGCTGGTATTGGACTGGGGTGGACAAGGTCAGAAATCACACAACACTAAGTTATAGTCCAACAGGTTTATTTGAAAACACAAGCTTACGATACCTCAGTCCTTCTTCAGGTGTTACAGCAATATGGATGACTCTTAAGTGCCCTCTGGGCCAGTAAGGATGGGCAGTAAAGGTTAGTAGCAAATTTGCTAGCCAGCAACACCTAGATCCTAAGAATGAATTTAAAAAAAAGACTTGGATGGGAATTTGTATGAGGTGTTCCAGTGGGCCTGCGATCCTTGTCCTTCTAGGTGGTGGAAGTCTTGGGTTTAACACCTGAAGAAGGACTGAGGCTCCGAAAGCTTGTGTTTTCAAATAAAACCTTTGGTTCTTATTTAGTGATGTCTAAATGACAAGTATATCTAAGTTTATGATGCAATGGGACTAGGAGGAGGCTGAAGGTGATGGTGGTCATTTGCTGCCTTTGTGATTCTAGGCGAAGGTTGAGAGTCTTGGGAGTTGTTGGAGAATCCTTGGTCAGTCGCTGCTGTGCATATTTTAGACAGTACATTCTGTAGCCACAGTATTCAGGAGATTCATGCTGAGTTCTAAGGAAGAGGAACATACAGCTTGAACAGCTCATATTGGAGCTGTACGTCTTCATCAATTTCTCATGTTTATCCATGTTGTTTTTTCTCTCCACTTCCTGTTATTGCTGGCATCCTCTAGCCACACTCAGTCCCTGCTATTTTTATTATTTTTATTTCATTCTATTTATTCCAGCTCACTGACATTGTTGTTCCTCTTCCTTCTGTTTCTATTTTTGTCCCCCTTTTTTCATGGTCATTTGCATCCATGCCTTCCTTTTACTAGCCCTCATATTTCCCTTGGAATGCCTTCTGTTACCATTCCTCATCGTACTGTGTGGTCCATCTATTTATGTTAGATTTCCCTCATTGTTAAATATGTGTTCAATTTTGTGTTTACATGACCTGAATGCCCTCCCATACCCCAATATTAGCCTTGTGCTTTGCAAATGATAACTACACTTCAGAAATGTTTAATTGGCTGTAAAGTGATTTGAGATTTTTTTTTCTCTGTATACTGTTGGTCGAAATTTCTGTCCTGTCTTCAGTATTACATCTGCATTTTGTAGGTGGAAACTAAGAGCCACTAGTGCCAGAAGTTAAATGCAAGAGTTTTGGCAAAGATCTGTAGCTCGGATTGTGGATGAGGTTGTTGACTTGTTCACCCAGCTGGCTTGTTTTTGTTCAGACGTTTCGTCACCATGTTAGGTGACATCATCAGTGGAACCTCCGATGAAGCGATGTTATTCTACTCCGCTTGGAATTTATACTGTCTGCCCTGTTGTGGTGAGTACCGTCATTTCCAGTTTTGATCTGTATGGGTTTGTATATGAGGTCCAATTCTATATGTTTGTTGATTGAAGTATAGGCGGAGAACCATGCCTCTAGGAATTAACATGCGTCTCTATGTTTGGGTTGGGCTACTATGGTTTACCTTGTCCCAGTTAAATTGATGACCTTCATTGTCTGAATGTACTGATATTAAGGAGAGTTTGTCATTCCATTTTGCTGCTAGCTGATGTTCATGTATTCTGATGGCTAGTTTCTTTCCTGTCTGTCCGATGTAATGTTTGTGGCAGTCATTGCATGGTATTTTGTAAACCACATTTGTTCTGCATGTTCTGGGAATGGGGTCTTTAATCCTTGTAAGTGTTTGTCGTAGAGTGGCTGTGGGCTTGTGGGCCACCATGATTCCTAGTGGTCTTAGGAATCTTGTTGTCAGTTCCGATATGTTCTTGATGTAGGGTAGTGTGGCCCGTGTGTTAGGTTGTACTGTGTCCTCCTGTTGTTATCTGTCTTGTAAGCATTCTGTGGATGAAGTTGCAGGGATATCTGTTTAAAGCGAGGATCTTGTATAAGTGTTCTTCCTCTTTCCTGCATAGTTCTGGAGTGTTGCAGTGTGTCCTGGCCGGTTTAAATAGTGTCCTAATGCAGCTTTGTTTGGGACATTAGGGTGGTTGCTGTGGAAGTTGAGGATTTGATCTGTATGGGTTGCTTTTCTGTATACTGATGTTTGGAACTCCCCGTTTATCAATCACTCTACTTTAACATCCAGAAACAGAAGTTGAATATTGTTTTCTTCTTCCCTTGTGAATTTAATCTCTATGAATACGCTGTTGATGAGGTGGTGGGTCTCTTCTAATTTGTTGCATTTAATAATGACAAGTGTGTTGTCTATGTACCGGATCCACAGTTTATTGTGGACATTATTATCCGTGTTTCTGGATATTATGGATATTATTATCCGACAAACAATAATCAGCTAGTGGCAAAACAGCACAATGAACTCTCCTTAATATCAGCACATTCAGACAATGAAGGGCACCAATTTAACTGGGACAAGGTAACCATAGTAGCCCAAGACAAACATAGACACACACGGGAATTCCTAGAGGCATGGTTCAATCAACAACCATATAGAATTGGACTCCATATACAAATCTATACAGAACAAAACCGGAAATGACAGTACTCACCATAATGGACCGGATATTATAAATTCCAAGCGGAGTAGAATAACATTGCTTCATCAGAGGCTCCATTGATAATGTCACCTAACATGGTGACGAAACATCTGAACAAAAACAAGCCAGCTCAGCGAGCAAGTCAACAACTTCGTTAAATGCAAGAAATGTAGAACAGAGCAAACGTACATAGGTTTGAGAGATTGGGAATTGTATTAATGAGCTAATAATTAAAGCACAGACTATGTCAACATTTAAAAATAAATTAGGTTAGAGATTGAAAGAAAGGGTGATAAAAGTCATAAAGATATTGGAACAGGATGGATGTGAAATCAAGATAAAAACTTCATGCAAACTCAGTCAAGTGGCTTGATGGGTTGCAGTTTTTATACAACGATATTACGCTGCAATGTGTCTGCTACCCATTTCTGCTTAACCTCTTTACAGTGAAAGTAATTCCACACTTATCCCATTAATTGTTAATGTGAAATTTCTCTTCTTAAGAAGGATTTCTCTGATTCTAACTCCTTCTTTATTTCTGAGATTGCGCTGGAATTCATGCCTGATTTGCGACTTTGACCATGAGGCAAAGCCAACAGCTCGGTTTATGCAGAGACTGCTCAGTAGTTGAATAAATTTCAATCACAAATGTACATGCATAATTAGGAGTGTTATCTAATCATCATTCATTCAGATTCACTTCTTTTTAATAGTCTCACTCAGGCCCTAAATAAGATTGATTTACAAAGTAGTATACTGACATATTTATAGCACACCTGCTCTGTGCGTTCTGTTGCAACCAACTCCTCCTCCTCCCCTCTTCCCAGGTGTTACAAATAAAGTTGTAGAGACATACAGCATGCAAACAGACCCTTTGGTCTAAGTCATCCAAGCCGACCAGTTATCCGACATTAATCCAAAATCATTGAATGAGAAACCATTGGGAACAGCTAATCAACCCTCCTTGCCTGTTAGTTTTTTTTTTACTGTTCCTGGGACCTGGGAGTCACTGGTTAGGCCAGCATTTATCACCCATACTTGGTTGCCCTTGTGAAAGTGGTGGTAAACTGCTTTCTTGAACCGTAGTAGTCTATGTTTTGAAAGAACTTTCCCTGTGCCGTTAGGAAGTGAGTTCTAGGATTTTGGCCTAGCAATGATGAAGGAAGGGGAATACATCTCCAAGTTAGGATAGTGTGTGACTTCAGGGGAGGTGTTGGACTAAAAGTAGTGTCACTGGATTAGCAATCCAGAATCCCAAGCCAGTGCTATGGAGTCATGGGTTTGAATCCCACCACAACAGATGGTAAAATCTGAATTCAATAAAATCTCAAATAGAGAACTGGCTTAATGGTGATCACATTGATTGTTATTTTAAAAATCTTCACTCATTTGTTTTAGGGAAGGAGATCTGCTTTCCTTACCTTGATTTGATCTCCATGTGATTCCAGACTCTCAGCAATGTGGATGACTCTTAAGTGCCCTCCGGGCAAGTAAGGATGGGCAGTAAATGTTAGTAGCAAATTTGCTAGCCAGCAACACCTACATCCTGTGAATGAATTTAAAAAAAAAACTTGGATGGGAATTTGTACGAGGTGTTCCAATGGGCCTGCTGTCGTCGACCTTCTAGGTGGTGGAAGTCTTGGGTTTAAGAGGTAGTGTCAAAAAAAATTGTCAAATTGCTGCAGTGCACCTTATAGATAGTACTGTGCAACAAGAATGAGCTAATAATCTTGCTGTGAGAAATCCTTTAGGAAAGATTAGCCATTATATAATAGAAAATAAATGGTCCATTTTGAAACTAGGATCCTAAATCTAAACAAAGGAAACTACAAACATATGAGAGATGGATTTATTATGATAGACTAAGTAATACATAAAAGCCATAACAGTAGCTAGGCAATAGTTAATGTTTCAGGAAGGAATACATGCATTGCAACAGTTATACATTCCTTTCAGACTAAAGGATAGAACAGGAAAAGTGGTCAAATCATGGCTCACGAAAGAAATTAAGGATAGTACTCAATCCAAAGAGGAATTGTGTAAAGTTCTTAGAAAAAATAGAAAGCCTGGGGACCGGGAGCAGTTTAGAATTCAGGAGAAGAGGACCAAGAGGTTGATTAGAGGATCAAATTTAACCTAGAATTGCCATCTGTCTCTCACCTACCATGAGGAGCCTCCCGGCTGTACTGCTGTAAAGATTCCATGGATGTTCACCTCGAAGATTCAATAGATTGATTCCTGGGATGGCAGGTTGTTCTATAAGGAGACATTAGGTCAATTGGGCCTGTTTTCACAAAAGTTTAGCAGAATGAGAAGGGATCTCATTGTAAAATATAAAGTTCTGACAGGGCTGTAAAGTCTGGATGAAGGGATGGTGTCTCCCCTGGCCTGGAGGTTCACAAACAAGAGATCATGTACTGTAGACCATTTTGGTCTGAGATGAGGAGGAATTTCTTTTTTCTGTCTCAGAAGAATTCTCTATCACAGGAAGCTATGGAGGCTATGTTATTGAATATATTTAAGAAAGAAATAGTTTTCTAGAGGCAAAATATGTCAAGAGGTATGTGAAGACAGAGTAGAAACATAGAGATGAAAGATCAGCCATGGTTATGTTGAATGGCAACACAGACTTGATGGGCTGAATGGACTACTCCTGCTTTCATTTTCTACTTTCCTACTGTCAAGTATGTGGTTGGAGTAAACATTTATGGTGGTGAATAGGCTATCAACCAGGCAGAATGCTTTTAGCCAGATGGTGTCAAGTTTTAAGTGTTGTCGGAACTACTCTATCACACTCCAAACCCATGTCTAGTTAGATGGTGGAAAAGTTTAAGGCAGTGGTTCCTCAAATATTTCTCATTGTGACTCCATTTTGAGGCTTGAAAGTTGCTGTGTCGAAGAGGTGGAGATATGGAAGAGTTGAAGAGTTGAGAGCTGTTGTGGGTGCATGCTCTTTACACTGCAGGGCTGTAAAGTTAAAAAGCTTATCTTTCTCCCTCCCGCCTCTCTTAGAGCCCCCTTCTTACAACCCCTCAATCTATGTAAATTGTTATTGTTGAAAAAAGATATATTTTGTAAAAGTTTTTTGCCTTGTATTCATGACAATTCGCGATAACAAAATAAAGGGAAAACAATATTTATAGGATGTGAGAGGAGAGTGCTGATTGGTTGGCAAGTATATTCAGGTAGAGATATTGCCATGGAGAATGCAAGAGTTAGATAATGCTTGATAGCTAATTGTCAATTGTGTAAAGGATGTAGTTTGCATGAATGTAAAGATAGCCCACCAAAATGGTCAGCTCAGCAGTGAAGCAGGCCCACTAATGTCAGCTACTGGCAACAGACACTCTAAGCCAGAATGAATTTCATACACATGCATGGTTTATTCCTCGATGTTCTGTGCATAACTTTGGTCCTACTGAAGACAAGGTTCCACATGTTTGGGGGGGGGGGCAGGACTTAAGAATCTGGGAGTGGTGGTGCAATGGTAAGGAGCACACGCAAATGCCAGTATGCCTGGACAATCTTTCTCTGCTACTGCACACAGGCCTCAAAGTGGCTGTGGGAGGGAAAGAGACTATCACGTCTCCTTTGGAATGTGCCTTTACAAAGAACATCTAGAAAGCGATGCAGTGACTTTTGTTGTGGTTCGTCCCAAGCAGCTCAGTGATGCAGGACTCTGTGCTCTATGGGCTGCTCCCTGGGCTGCATACCAAGACAAACATCAACTGCTCCTGGATGACCATCAACTCGGTGAGAGATACTCCTCGGCCTGCCCGAGACTTGTTGGTCTTCCAGTGTAAAGAGTTGTCTTCGACCAAACATTGCAGACTGGCACATTCCAAAGTCCAGGACTACATGCTGAGGGATGCATTTAAGCTTGGGCCAGCTGGTATCAAAGTGTAGTGGGGAAAAACCACCATCTATGGTCTTCCAAAGTATAACAGGGGTCCATTCAATTCTCAGGTCCTCCGTTGCCTCAAAATGAATGTAAGTTGTTTCCTGCATAAGGAGAAAATGCCTTTGTTTTTGCAACTGCAGAGAAGCTCTCAGGAATGACAAATTACAATGTGTCGCTTGTCTTTTCTCGGTCTCTGCAAATATTGTATAGAACTGTTTTAGGGCCTGTTGTGGCACAGTGGTAGCATCCCACCTCTGAGCCAGGAGACCAGGGTTCAAGTCCCACCTGCTCCAGAGATGTGTAATAACATCTCTGAATGGGTAGATTAGAAAATAGTTTTTTTTAGAACTGTTTTAGGACTTGTGTATCTACATAACTTTTATGAATAAGGTATATTTTTGCAATTAAAAAAAAAGGCCAGTAAATAGCCAGTCATTGAGCAGTACAGCTGGGAGGCTCCTCATGGTAGTTGAGAAAGAGAGCTGGCAGTTCTGGGCTAAATATGGATTGTGGGCTTGCAGCACTGAGAGCTTTTCACCTCTTTCCCCTTCCAGGATTACAACACTATATTCAGTGAACCAAGGTTGGTCCCTTGGCTTGATGGTAGTGAAGGACATGGTCAAACCATGCAATTACAGATTATAGTGGTACACACTTACGCTACTGATGATGACCCACGACACCTCACAGATGCCCAGTTTTGAGCCGCTAAATTTGTTCAGAATCTGTCCCATTTAGCCTGTAGTATCACCCAATGGAACTTAAGTATTTCTCAAATTAGTTGGATGACTCTGTGGTGCTGAGAGTCATGTCACTGCCTCTGAATGAGAAGCTTTGGATTCAAGTCCCTCCCCAGGACTTAGTCATGGAAGGTGTATCATAGTAAATGAGTTGAATATCTATTTACATATCCTTCAAATACATGCCAATGGCAGGCAGGAAGAGCAGGAGAGATTCTAGGTCAGCCATGTAATAAGAAACATTGAAGTCTTTGCCTTCACTATCCATAGCTCCAGATTACAACATGCATGTAAAAATGCACCTTGCCACAGAAACTCCTAAGTGAATACACTACCAGAAGTAAAATAACATTTCGGTGCAGTATTTTCAACAGACTGCAGTCAGTGGTGCAACCTTCAGCTGCGATATAAAAGTAAGATAATGATTGACTAAACTGGAAGAAGCAAAGGCAGTTCCCTCAGTGCTCTGATCAACAAACACTCCTTCCTCAACTATAGTTGGAAATTAACTGTCATTCACCTACTTGCTCTTGTTGGGACCTTGCTGTGCACCCTGCCAATCTTTACATTAGGCAGACAAAAATCCTGAATGCAGAAAAATTAATGAACCCACCAGTATGGAAATGTGATTCTGCATGTAAAAAGGGTGCCTGGAAGGTAGGAGAATGTATCAATGATGTCGAGAATCAAAATTTCCTTTCGGTGTATAGCTGCAGAACAATCCCCAAAACAAATTTTCTATAATTATTCTATAATAATTATTACTTTTTAAAACAATGGTCTTATTTTTGTAGTCAAACCAAGCAGTCAATTTGAAAAATAGATAACAAGGTGTAGAGCTGGACGAACACAGCAGGCCAAGCAGCATCAGAGGAGCAGGAGAGCTGACGTTTCGGGCCTAGACCCTTCTTCATCCAGCTCTACACCTTTGTTATTCTCAGATTCTCCAGCATCTGCAGTTCCTACTATCTCTGAAACGAATCAGTTCATTTGTTTTTGGTGAGGCTGATTAAGGCATATTAGCTACGACAAAGGGAACATCTCCCTGAATTTTTTCAAATAATACAATGAGATATTTTTGTTTTAATTTTTCACAATGCAAACAATCATTAGTATTTTCTGACAGTGCAGCATTCACTCAGTACTGTAACCAGCATAGATTGCGTACCAAGTGTAAGTCAAACACATGACCTTCTGACTCAGAGGCGAATGTTGTCTTTGTGATAACACTGCTATCTTCATGATGGAATAATGCATTGTTGGCGGTATACAGGTGACTACATTTCAAAAGTAATCAATTGGCTGAAAAATACTTTAGAATATCCCGAGTAAGTGAAATACTTATTCTAAAGCTCGAAATCTTCCTTCAAAAATATCTAAAGCCACTCCTGAAAAAATAGCAGTCTGTGAACTTAAGTTTCCCCCTTTATATTTAAACAGAATAATTGCTGGAATTGAACGACCAACCTGAAACGTTCAGCATAGTCTCTTTCCCCAGATGCCACCTGACCTTTCCAACATTTTTGTTCATTAACGTAGCTGGCTCAAATAACAT